ACCCTGTGGAGTAGAGGAGGAAGCTTCAGCGAAAGAAAGGAGAAGCTCAGGCTGTACTGAACCCATTAACCAGAATATTCAGTACTTCCGTCAGAGGATCTCTGCATCTGGAGACAAACCTGACAAGTTTGTTGGCCAGGAGGTCCACATATTACATCCCCACCTGTGGCACAGGTCCCGAAACACTGTTGGGATAGGGACCATTCCCTTGTATCCAGAAGCTGCTGGCTGAGGTTGTCTTGATGCCAATTATACACACTTGGTATGTGAATGGCTGTCAAGGCTGGAACATGGAGTTCTGCCCAGGCTAATCTTTTCTACCTTTCTTGCTGCAACCAGACTTCTGGTTCCACGTTGATGTATGCCACTGCTGTGGTGTTGTCTGAATGGATCCTGAACAAATAACCCAGTAGATGGAATGTCCAGTGTTGCAGGCACAGCCAAATAACACAAATCTCCAGAAAACCAACAAGGTGCCTAGGACTCCTCCTCAGAGTTGGATTTATGAGCTACCAGGTCAGAGACAACCTGGTCCTGGGTTTCAGGCAAATTTGTTTGTCTAGAGACCAAATTAATTTGTTCCATGATGACAGAATTTATTATAGAGGTATGGAGTTGAACTGAGCAAATGGGCTTGAAGGAGGCTACCATCAAGCCTAGAACTCATGCAGAGTTAGACAGCTCCTGTACTATAGTATCCACGTGTGATTGTGGAGTATCATAAACATTTCTTGGAGTGGTGAAATTCTGGGCTGAGCTGTGTCTAGAAGGGGACTCAGATACTAGAAGGGATGTGTTGATTTCAGTGCCGATTTCTAAAGGTTCATTATCCCACCAAACCTTTTTAAGGTCTGGACTGTCCACATCACATTGATGGTCAGCGTTTGAGATGACAGTTACCTCAATAGAAGCTGGAGTAGTTTTTCCACATTTAGAATACTCTTGTAGCATAGTAAGGCTAGCACTGGGGCTAGAAACTTGGTGAACATTTGAGGTGCAGACAATAGGGCAAATGGTAGCACTACAAACTAGTAGTGTTAAGTGCCTACAGCAAAGTGGATAAAGCATTGAGTGGATTTATAAAAAAAATAAAAAAAAGGGACATCCAAAGAGGCTAGAAAGTCTCCCTTGTTGATAGAGGCTATGACAGACTTAGTAAATTACATTTTGGACTTAAATTAAGACATTTCAGGCCTACAGGTCTTAGTTGGGGTAAATGCATCCCTTTGCCTTTGGAACAGTGAAAAGGCTGTAGTAAAAATCCTGAATCCTTTGCTTTTGTTGCTACAATGGCAAAAACTCCTTAGTTCAAAAGCTTTGCAAAAACAGAATGGCGGTTTGCTAGTCAGTGCAGTGACACAAGAAGGTTTGACAGCATGAAATGGGGTGGAGGCAGAGAGAAGTCTACCTTGCAGGTCCTGGATACCACGTCTCTTACCAAGGTTTCTAAGATCCTTTTTACTAGTTGTCTGCAAAGGCGAACAGACGTTATCCTATCATAATGAAAAGGACTTGTCTGCAGGTTTGGAGAATTTAGAGGCCCAATGATTTCTGGTTGTACTAGGCCCCTCCCTTAGGCTTTACTTTGAAAGAAGTCTGAGGAACTTTTTTGGTTTCAGAGATAAGAGATTGGCCAATTTTAAGCTTATTTTGATGGGGTAAATGAGTACTCTTACCCCCAGTGACTATTGAATAGGGACAATATGTATGTGTTTATGTCCACTTAAAAAAGCCCAATTTAATGTGTTTATTATTTAGGGGTGTGGTGTCCTGTTTTTTTTGGTGGTTCAAAAACATTGTTTACCAATTGCTGTATATTTGTTTTGCTGGGATATGTAGTCCTCTATAGTTTGTTGTATTCTGCAATGCTGAGGTTATTTTACAGGTTGGAGTCAGTGGCAGAACTACCAGGGTCACAGCTGCAACTGGGCCCTGGTGTTCCGCCACTGACTAAAGCTGTAGAGGCCGTTCCCTTGCTGTGTGCTTCGTGACATGTAACGTAGTAGCAGACTGCAATGGAACTCTTCACTCATTAGCACAGTACAAATATACATGTCACTATGTAGTGTAGCTAAGACTTCTTGTATTTTTCTTCTAAGATTTAGGCACATAATTAGTTCACAGTCGTGTGAAGTGTTTTTCGAAAACAAATCATCAGTATTCGGGTCTAAGTGCAGGGTAGGCACTTTGAGACACATAAGTTGGTTTAGTGATCCAATTTGGGCACTCGGGCTCATAAAGGTTTGCTGTCACTGCATTAATACATCCCCCCCATGGCAGTGCCCAACTCCCCATTTTTGACAATACCTTGCTTATCATCCTTGAAAGTAGCCAAGATTTATTTTTAAGATTCACCCTACAGTAGACTTCAATGGGGTTCGATGCTCAATTCAGGTTTTATGGACTTCAATTAATCCCACCAAAATTGAAACCAGGCAGGTTCCCTATTCAAATGTCCACTAACTGAATAGTTCTCAACACACACACACACACACACACACACACACACACACACACACACAATTTCATATGAACCGGAGCACCCTCAAAAAACACATGCACTATGCGTGTTCGCTGCCCATGGTAACACACATCCATAGTTGTGAAGCCAGACTTCTAGTTTTGCATTGGGCATTACTAATGTGATGTGTTTTTGGGTGTAATACTTCAGATAAATGTTAAAATAATGGTGATAAGCTGCACAGCATGCTGGGATATTTATAAAAAGAGTCTTGCAAACTGGAGTTTAGCCTTATCTAATGAAAAAAGTGACAACAAAAAATATGTACAAGCACTTTAATTGAACAACAGACAGAAAAAGAAATCAGTGAAAATTGTAAAGGAAAAGCACATTTAAAAAAAAAATACAAAATACACAAGAATTGGACAACATTATTTGTTAAAAGAAATATGTACATTCATTTGGCAGTTTATATAGAGACTTTTTGAAAAACATTTATATACAAATACATTGGGATTTTGCATTCAATTTCAATACGGTTTCAGTTCTATGGTAGGCAATAATGATTTAACCTCAGTTCTATGGATTAGATGGCATACATAAATACATAGGAGCAAATAGAATCATTCGTCCATAGTAACCAACCAGCTTCTCTTTCCAGCTCAGTCAGTCAAGGTTTGAAAAAGATAGAAGCCAATTGGTTGCTTTGAGCAACTGCTCCAGATTCTGTCTGGTCCAGTTTTGATAAATCTCCCCCCCCCCCCCCCCCATAGACTATGGGAATGATGCACTGTGGCTCAGGTAAACCTGCACTACAGTAATCCCTGACAAAAGTTTACAACTTCCTGCTTCTTAAAATTAGGACACATGTACAGTAGCATCCCAAAAGTGCAAGCAAATGGCTGTGGAAACTATTCAGAAACCACTTTTATCATCACGGAAGCAGAATTACAAATTCAGAACTGTAAAATACAAAACTGTCAAATGCCAATATGGAATGCATTTCTTAATGGGCAGTGTTCCATACAATGATTGACACTAATACGCTCCTAAGAATGTGCTACTGTGGCAATAGATCAGTACTTTTAAAATATCATCTTTGAGGTCTTCCAAATTTAAATACCTTCCTCGTGCCAATGAATAATTTTGACAACTTCACACATTTGCACTATTTTCCTTGAGATTTGTAAAATGAATCAAGATGACTTGAAGGGCTTATGTACAGGGGTATTTATTAAATCTTTTTTTTTTATACCGGATTTTAAAGCTTTTGAGTGGATTAGAAGCCTGGCTGAAGCAGATTCCTTTCTCCTAAGCATCATTGTTGGCCAGTAATGCTGGCAAACATAACAGACTACTATTGAAGCTTCGTAAAAAATGGTAAAGAGCGGGGACAAGTTCACAAACTAATCAGCCCTGAAATTGTAATTTAAAGCACCCAGACATCTAATGTAAGATGCCTATTTGTGTGCTCACAATACTGAAAAAAAAAAAAAAAAAAAAAAAAAAAAAAAAAAAGGAGTACAGTAAAAATCTATTGAAATGTGCAATTCTGTTTAGTCAGTCTAATGATTCATGCAACATTGCCACACTAAAAAGATATAAAGGTGACATGTTTATTTTCTTTGGAAAAAAATGGTTTCAGTCTTATTGGGTAGAAAGTAAGCAAGCCATAAGATCACGGACATACTAACCACTTCTTAAAGTAGTGTTTTGTGCTGCTATGCTGAAACCACAAATGTTATTATGCCATTGTTAAACAAAAATGGAGCGTAAAAGTGGAAGTGAATTTAAAAGAAGAATTTGAGCAGTCAGGCGGTTCACTGCAGAAGAGACATTACCTGCCTGTTTGCAATCGTCTTTAGAACGTACACTAGGCTGCGCAGCTCAGTGTACATTCTCAGTACACCTCTGTGGTGGGGTGAATTAACTTCCATGCAGATGAGCAGGGGAGATGTTGGTGCAGTGAAGGAATGAGGTGAATCAAGTTCCATTTTATAACTATATGAGTAGGTCCATTTTAAGTTCTGGTTCAAATACTGTACAAATCACTGCCCTAATAAGCAGGCATGAGATAAAAACACAACTAATTTTGAAAAGAAGGCTCTTTTGCAAGTTTCTATGTTTTATAAATGGCATTGATGGAATACATTGGGTAACAGGTTTAAGTTTCTCTTTATTTGAAATATTTTAAATAAATACTGTCCATAGTACATTATTAAGAGCAGTTTCATCTTTACAAAATCCCAGTTAATATGTACAAAAAAAAAAGTCAAATATTTCAGTAAGACCATACTTAAAAAGGGGGACAAGTTAAAAAGAAAACATTTACAAAGCTGGCAGGTTACAAATACCTTGGTACAAACAAAATAAATTCCCACTGATAGTGTAACTGTCTCCTTAAAAAAACAAAAGCAACCATTTTATGCTTGACAACTGACAAAATGTTAGCCTGCATCTCCATATGTGTTTGGCAAATTCACAAAACCGCTGTGTAAATTGTGACTAGTGCGCCTTAAAATATAGCCCACTTTACAGGCTACATTTTATTGGGTCCATGTAAAATCTTTTGTGTAGCAATTCAAAAACATTACACATTCTCATTTATTGTGGAGTTAAACATGGCATCCTTAATGGTAGACTTCTTGGAGATCTCTTCCTATTAACGGAAAAAAAAAAAAAGTTAAAGAAGTAGGCAAAAGCATTTTGAAATAGGATAAACTATAGTGGAAACAAACATATCAGACTGCCTACTTCTTTTCAACCTCAGAATTAAACATATGTTTGTGCCCTCCCAGTAAAAGGGTTTCAGGAACAGAGTTTGTGCCGTCAGTTCAGAAAGCAGTGGGCAGGACTAGGTGCGATTAGGTGTTGACTGACAAGCTACAGGCTTTTGAATCAGCAGTGACCATGCTGATAGCCATGCCCTCTGCAACATCTCCTCCCACAGTAGGGCAAGCAGCAGGCTGGGCCTACATTAGAATGGCAACTATGCCCTGAATTTAGGAACAGTGCAGCACCATTACCACATCATTACAGAAAGCTGCATTAAATGGACTTCACTGGCAGGCTCAATAGGTATATGTGGGACTTTGCAGATGCACTTATAATTATGTACTTCGGCACATTTTTTTTTTAATGGGAAGCCATAGTTGTGCTTTAATATTGAACAAGTCAGGACAGTACACGGAGCAAGCTTCTAAGTGTGCAAGTGAATTTGCTCTCTTCTGCTGGACACTTTCTTTGTCTTTTCATTTAGTAGTCTACTGTATAGGACTGAATTTTCATTTATTTAATTTATTCACCACTTTTATTTAACTTAGCAGCCAATAAGCCTAAGCTACAAGTTGACCCAGCATAAAGTAGCCCCACTCCTTTGAACATGTTGAACACCAGGAAAACGTGAAAGCTGAAATGTGCACTGTGTAAGGCCTTGTTCACACCAAATGCAGAGCAGATCTGCATGAGTTTCTGCACACGCAGTGCAGTGGGTTGTGCCGAGTTTTTGATGCGTTCCGGGCCGTTTTTGGTAAAAAAATAAATAATTTTTTTTTTAGTTTAAAATGGGCTTTGTGCGTTTGCATGCATTCCAGAGCAGATCCAGAGCAGGTAAAATAGGGCCTGCTGCAGTTTTTTTTACCTGCTCTGGAACGGAACGCTGCGATGTGAACTGGAGCTAAAAATAGTAATACCATTGGAATACATTGGACACAGTTTTGCTCCGGTCTGTAACTGCTCTGCAACGCGCTTGGTGTGAACAAGGCCTAAGTGACCTGAATTACCTGCCAATGGATTAATCTGTTCAGCCATTCCTGTGATCTAGATACCCTGACAGGCAACAAAGATCAGCTGGTGACCACTTTTCTGCACCGCAGAAAAGCTATACTGCTTAGTCACCAGTCCACCCCATCCTGCCGATTGGACAATAAAGCAGCACAGTGATAATGTCATCTCTCTGCTTATCAGTGCAATACACTTCTGGGTTTTGGACTCACTTCAGCTCCTCACCGATGTTAAACCGAACTGAATCTGGTGCATTAATGGAGCCAGCAAGTCCCGCTCCAGTCACTACATTGCCAGAATGCCAGAGCCACTACCCACTGAAGGTCTTGCATTCGACAGTTAGGGTGTGGCTTAAACATCAAACAACAGAAGCCCAAACCCCTCATACAGCCTGTGTCTAGTATTCAAGGTTGTCCAGATGGAAAGATTTTAGGGCTAACAGTACCTACATTTATGGTTAGGGAAGCATTAGGTTAGGTCAGGATCCCTAAATATTGAACACTACATCTGGAAATATCTTAAAAGAGACGCTGTCATTATGTCCAGTCCAGACAAAATGACTGTGTCTTTAGAAAGGGCACCCCCCACCCACAGGTATTATATTGCCAGTGTTCCTCTACAGATCCATACTCCTCTACCATTCTTCTGGGTATAGGAGAACATGTGGCCTCCTATGTGACCATGCTGGGGTCTAGCAGCTAGCCATTGGGCCCAATACACCATCATATGACACCAGCAGACATTGGGGATTTTAGTGTCAGCTGGTGTCATGTGTCAGATAGACTGCTGGTTAAGCAGCTATCTCCCCCCAGTATAACAAACACTTACATGTATCTGATTTCAAGTGACACTCACTTTTCATATAATTGCAGGAGTTCTTTGCTTTTTCTAGTAACAATATACATTCTACAGGTTTCATGTCAGGGTCAAATGGTGCCTTCTCTCATAACTGAATGTTGTCAAGTTTCTCTTTTAAAGGGTGAAAGAATAAACTCCAATGACAGATTTAAGCGGAAACAGACATTTGGGATTACTATTACCCTAACCACTTTAATGTGTTTTCAGACATTCAGCAAAAAGGGTAACTCCACTTTAAAAATGAATAATAAAGAAAATAGCATACCATATACAATTGTTGCACAAGCTATTTTGTAATTTAATGTTATTAAAAACAACATTTCCATGTAAAACTGTAGCCGCTGTAATGTTCTAAATGTGTCAAAAAAATTCAATGCAATATGGCGACCAAGAAGTGTTCTGCACACAGTTGGAGTAAAATTTTAGGGATCCTTTGCAAGAGGATTTTCATTTTTGGGAAGATACTCCTTGAGGCTGCGTTCACACCATTTTCCGGACCAGATCTGGAACGCACTGCATTGCGTTTTTGCAGCGATTTTAAAACACGCCCATCGCACTCCTGACCGAAAGAACCCAGAAAATTTGGGTGGGTGCTAAAATGATAGCGTTTGCCTCCGCAAAATGAATCCAGGTAAAGAAGTCACTAGCACTCCAGCGTAATTACAAGTCAATATTTATTGACTACAAAAGGTGTCACATAATCACAGGCAACTAGGGATGCACCAATAACGGTATTTTGGTACCGATAATTTTTTTTCAATACTCGCCGATACCAATTATCGAGTAATGGAAGTCCCATTCAGGAAGCCAGGTGGCGTGTAATGACTCGCCACCCGGCTTCCCGATTAACAAGAAAGTCCCCTCTTACCTTAGTATGTGCAGCCTGTCACCCCCGGGGCCTCTCCAGCGAGAACGCGGCCTTCCTCTGGTACCCAGCCGGAGCCGTCTGGCCAATCAGGAAGCCGGGCGCTGTGTAATGACGCGATGCCCTGCTTTCTGATTGGCCGGCCAGACGGCTCCCTCGTCATGAGATGACGAGGGAGCATGAAGCCAGCTTCCTGGCCAATCAGAAAAGCTTCCTGATTGGCCGGCCAGATGGCTCCGACTGGGTACCGGAGGAAGGCCGCGTTCTCACTGGAGAGGCCCCGGGGATGACAGGCTGGACATACTAAAAGGTAAGGTAGGCAACGTTTTAGAACCGCATGGTTCCTTCCTCAGGCAAAACAGAGTGAATTTGCTGCGATTTTGCCACGTTCTAGGGTTTTTTCCCCCCCCTTAGCTTAAGATGGGCTTTCAGCTGCGTTCCAGGACAAAAGAAGACCTGCAGTATTTTTGTGGTCTGGAATGGACTGCGCTGGTGTGAACAAAGACCAGAAATAGCATAGGGATACATTTTGGGTCCGGAAACAATCTAGTCTGGTGATGATCTGGATGTGGTGTGAATGGGCCCTAAGGGTTAAATTACTACTAAAAAGGGATGCAGACACTGCTTCTTTCCTAATTACAACACAGGATGACCCACAAGCTGACAATAATGAAGCCAGACTCTCCCATTCAAGGAAAATGACATGCTGCAACATTCCGCTATTTCTTTAGAACAGAAACAAGTAGGAAACTGCAACAAAGTATGCTAAAATCGTTGCAGTGTACATTGATCACTCAGAGGATTGATTTTTGTCTCTACAAAAGTGGAGTTACTCTTTAAAGCAATCCAGTCAGATTCAGTTAAAAATGACATACATGGTTAAACTACTGTATAGCAAACCATTATAATTTTAGAGCACAATGAAACTGCCCTCTTGTGGTTATTTTTCTTATTGTCACCTGGGAGAGAACTAAAGAAAACTACTAGAGTGGTTATAGATGGAGATAAGCATGCAGTTACCTTAAATTCTGAATAGCTGGCAGGCTGGCTGGATAGTAGAATTGTTTGTTTGTTACTGTCATGCAAAGGAGTTCTTACAGGTGTGTCTTTAGTTTTCAACGGTGTCTGCAAAGTAAACTACATCATTACAGTTGGCCCTTAACACAGTCATAGTGGGGTGGGGATTGATGAAAACTGGAGCAGACAGAATCTGGAGCAGTTGACCATGGCAACAAAATCAGCCTCTCTCTCATTTTCAACACTTAAACTGAATAGAGACACCGATTGGTTGCTATAAATCATCCTGTCTGCTTCAGTTTCTATGAATTCCCCCCCAATGAACTTTTAGGTGCCCACAGTTATCAGCCTATCGCCAAAGAGGCAATGAGTGAAACATCTAGGAGCACTTTCCTACATGAGCAGCTGTAGGCTGACAGATATTGGGATGCTGATTACATAGGTAGATTCCCAAGCCCAATAGTTCTGGTTTTCACCATGATCAGGCTGGCACCTGCTCAGTGCATAAACTGGTACATGAAGGCTGTATATAAAATTCAGAGTTAGGACTTACCGGTAACTCTATTTCCATTAGTCTTCCAGGACAGCATCACGAGATGGAATCTCCTCCCCCACACACAGGAAACACGTCACTTAACCTCTTGCCGTCCGCCCGTAGTAAAGAAACGGACGGACGGCACTGCAGCATCTGCGGGTTGCCGTCTCCAGACGGCAATTTTTTTCTGCTCGCGCGCGCCCCCTAGCGGGCACGCACGGGCAGAAAAGACCGCCAAAAGTCATGGTTAAGCCTCACCTCTTGTTGACACTAAGTGCCACCGCTATCATTCAATTTTCAGATACCAGAACTTCAGTCAGCAGAAGAGGCTAAGGCATCTGGTTATTGAATGATGAAAAGTAGTGCCTAATTCCAGAAAGGGCGGGTTGTAATCTTGACTTGGGCAGACATCAAACCTTCAAGCACAGCTTCAGACTAGGATTCAGGGAGGTTCTACAGGTATCAAACTGAACATTAATATAACGATACTTGCAAGCACCACAAGGTTCCAACACTTGAGCACGATTTTTCAAGACGTTTCAGGCCAGATCACTTTATGTTCACTTTAATAAGAGTAATTTTTAACATTTAAAACCTTGTCTTCTATCTCTGGGCACCTGGACCTCCTCCCCTTCAGTCCCAGCCCTTTTCTTACCTTCAAAAAACAATTTCAGGCAATCAAAAAATGAACCCTTGCAGTGGTAGCTACCCCCACAATGCAATTGTTAACTGCTTGCTTTGGTCTAGGGGCTAATATAAAGACTATACAATCACCCAATCTTCAGTCCTGCAGCAGTGACCACTCATCTCCAACTCCGCTCTGGCATTGGTATGTTGGAGGCTGCTGGGACCGATTTAGCAGCCAAACAAGACCAAGAATCGGGTGAGCATATTTTCTTTATTTTAGCCCCTAGATCAAAATGAGCAGTTAATCTTTGCAGAGTGGGGGTAACCCCACTGCAAGGGTTAATTTTTGGGTTGCCTGGAATTCTTGAAATAGCTGCTAGCAGAACAGACAGGTGTCTAAAGTCACCCGATCATTTCTGCATACACCAAAAGGTACAGACCCCTCTCTAAAACCCACCTGCCATATGTCCTGGTATCACCTGGTACCATCGCACACTCCCATTATCCTCTCTGAAGCCAGCTTATTGGCACACCACCACAACTTGCAATTAAGTTTCTCACCTACTCAAACAGATACACTATCTTCCTAGCCTGCATCCAGTCTGGAGATCACTGCAGACCATCGCACACTCCCATTATACTCTCTGAAGCCAGCTTATTGGCACACCACCATAACTTGCAATTAAGGTGATTGGAATATTCTCTTATGATCATCTAGTTCATCATCCAGAAAACTTGCAAACTTTACTTCTGCAACCCAACTATCTGTAATGTCATTATATTATTTGTATGCATTCTCTAGCTGTTATTTAAGTCTGCCAATCGGTGATGTTTTAAGTGATAGCCAATTTAAATGCCTGCATCATGTATGTCAAACCATACATTTTGTTGAAGTTTTGTTACCCTCTACCCCCTTATCTGTACTTTGAGTAACCCCCTCTCCTTTCTCTTAAGTTTCTCACCTACTCAAAACAGATACACTATCTTCCTAGCCTGCATCCAGTCTCCAGTATGTGTTGGGTTTGTTCGCATACAAAAAGGACTATTGCACCACAGATATCACCAAGCAATGAGTAATGAGTCCAGGGCCATCATTTACTGTTAACTCTAAAATGATGAGCTGTAAAAGACTTTTATTCTGTTTTAATGAACACTGCATCAGTTTCCTGAAGATGTTAAGCGCCTAGAAAAAAAAAAAGGAGTTCCCAATAACTGCTACTTTTCAGACAAAGCAGTGTAAGGTGCACCACTATTATTGGCTCAACTTGTAGCTGAGGGCTTTGTTGTAGGTTTTTTTTTTCTTTCTACATTTTTACCAGTGGCTTTGACTTACATTATTTGACCATGTAATATATAAGCATAGTATGCAGCACTATACTGTACATACTACTTATACATATCTACCTACCACAATCTACTACTACTTTCGGGCAGCTTCTTTTCCCTGTTAAAACTAGTTTGCACTGTTGTACAAATGACACTGCTGGTTATATTGTAATCTTGTGAAGAATCAGAGATGAAGCAATGTCTTCAAACAAGTACCAATTCTCTAGCAAATGGATACATTTCCATCATTCTCATGCCTAATAAGCCTTACATGGAGCAACCTCATTCACAAAATAAATAAATATGCCCTCTATATATTTACAGGTAAATATATAAACAAACTTGTTTACTGGTTTTAACTTCTTGACAGTTGTCTAGAATAGCTTTATTCACATTTATTAAAACTGGGACAGAATCTGGAGCAGTTGCCCATGGCAACCAATCAGCATCCCTCTTCAGTTTGCTCAGGTAAGATTTGAAAATGAGACACAAGCTGATTAGTCGCAGTGCAAATCTACTCCAGGATTTTGTCTGCTCCAGTTTTGATAAATTCCCCCCATAGTATTTACTGACTTTAAGGTCAACTTATTGAAGAAAAATTTCACTGCAAAAGCGGAGCGATTTACCTTAATTGTTGCAAGCTGTGGTTTTCCTGCTGGTGTTTGTTTTTCGAAGGTGGTGGTTACATTTGTGCGGGAGATTGTTGCATTTGTTGTTCCATTAAGCTGCACATAGAAGTAGTAAATAAAACAGGTTTAAAATTGGATTAGGTGGCTTGTAAACCTAGCAGTTACTTTGCACAGAAGAGATAGACTTCCAAATAGTTTTAAAATAAGCAAATCTACACAGAAGATATTTAAAGTTAAATTTAAAGTGACACTAAACTCAAGAATTAAATCTTAATACATTCAAGTATCCCAACTATTAACAAAAATGTATCTTATTTGTGTATCACTCAGCTGTAGATCCTCAAATCATCTCTGAATTCATACTGGCACTGTCCTTCCTTCTGGGGGGTGGCTACTTTTCTTCCCCATGGTCCCTGTGTGTGTGTGTTGTAAAGTAGCCACTGCACCAAACTTGCTCACATGATGGACTTGAACTTCAATACAAAAGTAGTAAACTAAATGTGAAATTGTAGTGCCATTGGGGAGCGAGTTACATTACAACACACACAAGATGGATAACCACGTGTAAAGGAAACTAAAGTTCCACTCGCAAACTGGATACAAGACTATATACATTCATAAGCAGCATTTCAAATTTAACCAACAAAAGGTGTATTATTTGCAGCCCATAATGAATAAAATATGTACATAAATACTGTTCACTCGCATAGCAGTAGGCTGCATCAATTTGCAGAGGAAAGATGAGAATCTGTCAATAACTAATGAACTGAAAACGTATTGAGCGTTTGCTATAGTGAAAGGCATGAACATAAAAATCTGTATTGATTTTCCGACTGACAAAGTGGTAACATTAGCACAAGTTAGTATACTTGAATACTTGCCTTCCGGGTCTTGTTACTTGGAGTATTCTGTGTACATGATCCTGCTGGTCGTTTGATTGGAGTCTTAAATGGTACAGTGTCTTCTTTTTTCTGGGTCTGTGAAGGATACGACCAATTGTTTACTACATTGAAAAGGACTTTTTTTTTTTTTAAGCAAGGCCCAGTTCACCAATGCCACATGATCAATAGCTTTAGGAATAATAAAGTTGCAAACATACAACAATCACTGCAAGAGCACTCACTCGATCTTGTTTTTCTCGCTCCTTCTGCTGTTTGAACGTCTCCCACTGACTTGCAACATAATCCATAAACTTGATTCCTTTAAACAAAAACGGACATCCTTGTTCTTCTTCCCAGAATTCTATCCTAGCCTTCAGATCTTCCTCTAGCTAACAGAAAAAAATGCATTTACATTACCATAACATTATTCTCAGATTATTCAAATGTGGATTTAAAGATTCAAAATAAGACCTTACTTTACCTTAGACAGTAATTTTTGAAGTTTTACACGTTCCTTTTCCTCTTTAAGTAAACTCCCTCCACGGTTTGAGAATCTGTTGGGATCTGATGCCTTTTTCTGGAAAGTAATGTGCAAAACCAAATTAAGAGATTTCTAATTTGCATAATGTAATTTGTATTTTATACAGATAACATTATAATGAAATGTGTGAAGGCAATACCTACTAATTTACCAGTAGAACAATGACAATTTGTGTCATGGTTCACCAGCTTTTAATGGACAAAAGGACCCAATTTGATGTAAGCCTACTCTATCCAGCATGCTTTAGTTTTTTGAGCAAACAGTATACAGGGCCATAAAAAAAAAAGGAGGAGGTGGGACCTGTGTTATTTGGCACAAAAATATTTTTTGTAATCATTTATTGAGGGACATGGGTATTTAGAAACAGTTGGCATGTCCAAAAGTAGGCCAATTGAGGGGTGGGCAACAGCCACTGACTGGCTCAAAGAATTTTGAAAACCAGCCTCATTTTCAAGAGTTATCTGATGGTCCAGCTTTTGAATCAAGGGTAGATGAGCTGAAGTCAGCTGCAGAACAAGGGAACTACCACAAACAAATGGACGACACAAGAGGATCAACCTGGAGCTTCAAACCAGGAAAGAAACTCACTGCCATGGGCAGACTTTTAGCTGAAGTAAAACTAGTCACCAAACAGACTGGAGTGCCAACCAAGCATACAGCAAATACAGGTGTAACACAATGAACAAACAGGAGGAAACTAGACCAGCAACTAGAGGTGGTCAATGGTAAAACTTACTGTTACCAGGAAAACAGATCCCTAAAGAGAAATTTGGGCAAAAAAACAAAGTCAAAAAGAGAAGACCAGTGGGTTAATGGTTGTGAATGACCGGTAAGAAAAACCAAAAAGGTACCAGTCCTGAAGTCCATCTGAAGGCTAGGGTAGCGTAATAAACATCTGCACAAAAAGGACAGGCAGGTGTAAGGGTATACCAAAACCCAGAATAGTAGACAATACCAGAATCAGAAGTCTGAACAAAACACCTTCTATACAAACTCGCAAGGGTGACTTTAGGGTTTAACAGGTAACTCAGCTAACCATTTCCCAATTACAAAATTCTAAGCATTATCTGACCTATGCTAGCTCAGTGCAGTATCCTGTGCCAAGAAGTGAGGGGCAGGAATCTTAGTCACCCCAAAGGTGCCCATACACTTGCCGAATTTCGACCGGTTTTTAATGTACCCACAGTGTGGGACTGTCGGCTCCCCTTCAGCCAGCATTCCTGGATCAGCTGATCAAAGGAACTGGCTTGAAAAGCTTTGTGCGATGAGAGCTGGATGCCAATGAGCTGCCCACTCTGACCGGGTATTTTGACAGGTGCCGGTGGCGATGCAAACAGCAGCGATTCCTCGATCGACACGCTCTTTGTGTTGGAAGAATCACGTCAATTTCTTTCGTTCAGCCCGCGGGTTGAACAAAAGAAAATTACAGGTGCATGGCCAGCCTTAGACACCCCTCGAAGGATAATCAAGTCAGATATTCTTTGGCCGTATCAGCGTTCCAAGCACATAGAGTTCTCTATGTATATGTACAAACATCAATACCATGTAAAACAGAAGTTTGTAACAAGTAATGACAACTAAAGTGCAAGGCTCCTCTCATTTGCTCCACCATAGCTATATAAGACAGGGCCTGCCACAGCAAGACAAGGGTCCTCTTTAAATGATTTTACCCATTCTTACAGGGTATGGCATAGTAAAAACAGGCCTAAGAGTGACTTTAGTTTATTCAAACTGGGTCCCAAGAAGAGAATTTAGGCAGACACCTTGCAAAGGCCTGAAAAGGATATGGATATGGAACACTTTCCAGCCCCATAAACACTGTCCAAATCTTGCTGCTCTAACCTCCATAGCATCTTCACAATATGCTACTTCTTAACCAACACCACCACAAAGCTACTAATTAAATCCCTTGGTAACTCATAGGCCTACCTTTACACAGACTATTCCCCCCTCCAGTCTTATCATGAAAGTTGTTCAGTTTGTGCCACACCCTCTGCAGATTCCTTCACTTGCCCAACAAATAAAGTTCAAAATACCAATATATAAAGCCATCCATAACTGTGCCCCAAGCTACACTCCATCCTTGTCTCAAAATATCATCCTAACTAGTCCTCCCAAGACACCTTGCTCTCTAGCTACCTGGTTCTTTCCTCCCATAAATCACCTCCAGATCCTCTCCCATACTCTAAATGCCAATCTGTTCGGCTGTCTCCTACTCGGTCTACAGTAGGCAGTCCTTGAAAACTAGAGGAAAAAGCAAAAAAAAGAGGAAAAGCAAAAAACACCGGCGCCAGCACCTGCGACTTGTATGCACACAAACTAGTAACACTAGTGATGCAGCTCCCACTGGTCAGGGCAACTGACAAACTGGAAAACAAACGCAAAAAAGGATCGCCTCCATAGTGTAAAACAGTATTTAGTAAAAAGAAGGCACACAGCTAGGGCTGTACTTACAAACAACTGTAGAACACAGGCATGTAACAAGGATGGGTAAACTAAATCACCAACATAGACAAGCTGGAGTATTGATGTCAAACCAGAGTCTTCCGCCCCCAAGTATTCCATGGGTTTACATGTTTCAGAGGCAACGCCCCCTTCACCAGAACCTATGGAACACTCCTCTCAAGTCTTAGAAGTCGACCAAATCACGGTCGTCCACTAAACTGGTCACATGGGAACCGTAAACCCAATCTCTAATCGTCAGATCATCGCTGCAGGCTCGTCTAAACAGTTTAGATGAGCCTACAGTTGTTTGTAAGTACAGCCCTAGCTGTGTGCCTTTTTATTAAATACCGTTTTACATTATGGAGGCGCTCCTTTTTGCTTTATGTTTTTCAGTCCTTGAAAACTCATCTAATTCAGGAAAGCGTAACCCGCCACATAAAAACTACTTCTTACTTTCTGCAGCAGCTCAACCCTCACAGTTATGACCTTTTGAATTACTTGCACCCCTCCCTTTTAGATTATAAGCTTTCATGAGCAGGGCCCCTCTAATCCTCTTGTATTGAATTGCATCATAACTCTATGGTCTCCTGCATGTTTTAAACTGTTGGTACTATATAAATCCAGTATAATAAAACTAAGAATAACACCTTCAATCCATTCGGTAGTGTGCCTGTTAATACAGAGCACTGGAACTTTCACAATGGGAAGAGACAACCAAAAAAATGATTTCCTTCCAAAAGGGTTAAACAAAAAAAACACAACTCAGCCACATTCTCAGGAGGGACCCAAGATCCTACAGGGGTGCTGCCAGTAGGAACGATATAAATAGTGGATGCATTGGAAAGGTCTTTGTAGCTGTAGGAGTTCTGCAAGACCCTAGATGCGGAAAAGCATGCTGACCCTATAGTAAAAGGAGTCCCAAGTTCTAGATTACATGTGTTAATCCCTTATGAAGATATCAGATAAAAGCCTCGAGGACTACTAGGAGACAATAGGCTGAGGCCACCAGTAGCATGGGCACAGTCCACTATGAGTCTTTGCCTCACGTGGTGGAAGCAACTAGGTCCAATGAGGCAAGGTCCCAAGTACTCACAAACCCAGGCAGCTGGTACTGATGAGTGTTTTAGGCAGCCCAGAGGTGACCAAGTACCCCGTGGGGAGCCGATGGAATGAGACCCGAGACCAGATGATCCACATGGTGCGTCGGAAGCAGCACTGAAAAATATCTTCTCGGCAAAAAGCACTAGGAGCACCGTTACCATGGTACAACAGATGGTTCAACAGCGAGGTAGCTCTTGGTGCTTCAGCCTGACCGGTCTAACGCACGGAGTGTTCAGAGACAGGGTCACACCTGAGGTACCGAAGGCAAGGAAGAAAAAATATCAACATATCATTAGTGTAGGAAACTTGCTTGCGGGAATTGAGGATAAAGAAAAAATATCCTGAATTAAGACCATCAAAAAAAAAAAACCAAAAAACAATTGGACATTTTTTCAGCAGAGCAGAAGGCATCCAACCTCTTAAAGACACTGGTAAAGAGAAAACAAACAAAAAAAACCAAGGCATGCTGGATAGAGGAGTTATATGGGGGATGGCTTACAACTGTTTTTTTATCCACATTATGCATTGCATAGGCATGAGAGATTCCCCTTACTTCCTATCCTGGTGACCACATAGAGTGAGGAAACCCTCGTGCATCAAAAATACTTCAATTATGTTCCTAGTTAAGCTGCCCAAACACCTGACAATTATCGCACGATAATCACGGGTGATCCCGCGATCGTATGATAATCGTAAGGTGTATGGGCAGCGTGCGACCGCATTTACTGTACGGCCGCACGATTTTCGTATTACGAGCACGCTAGAAAACCTGCCAAAAATCATATGATTTTCGGCGCGTTGGTAGCGCGATCACAAGGCGAAAGCCGCACGGCCTGAGGTACGCAAGTGCACACTGCCCGCTCACCATTGCAATCATCTGTAAGCCCTCCCCTCAGCGGGTAGGACTTGCGATGATCTCAAGTACGATCTGCCTGTCCAAGATGGGCAGGTCGTACAAACTTTTAATCACCTTACAACCATCGCACAACAAAAGTCGTGCGATGGTTGTAAGGTGTATGGCCACATTTAGAGAGATCTGTGCTCACTTTCAGTTTTCAATGTCATCACTGGGACAGGAAGGGAGGGGAGAGAACCCAAAGACGACCTCAGACACCAACGTAATCTGACAACGGTTCTAACACTCCCTACTTCATGCAAAACTGTCGGTGAGCACAAGGGAAATATATACATTTTCTAACAGGCAATGATCAGCAAAGTAAAATTAAGCCTTTTAAAACCTAAGCAGAGGGTAAACTAAAGACACTCAGCTTTATTACATATTATATTAAACAAAACCACAAAACAGAAAATTAAAATATATAACCTCCAGAACTATAAACTGAGACCAGCTGGTTTCCCACTTGGCAATAGCATCAATAATTGGCTTGCATTTTTCATACTGCAACTTCATTCTCACAATTTCTTCATCATGCTTTGATAAAAGTTCTTCTGTGAAGTCATCTGTAACACAAAAGCGGGAAGTTATGTCAAGTATGTGGCACACTATACTTTATACAAATTTAAAAAAGTTAATATAGGGTTGCTTATCCTCTCCAACACGGATATGCATCATTTAGATCACCCACAATTCAGCAATTATATGATTTCTAAATGCTTTGCCTCACACTTCCTTTGTGAGTGTGGCCATCTCCCTACATGGTCTCAAGGTATGTGTAATGTAGCCTTCCTACTGCCCAATGCAAACTACAAAGTAACACACCAAGGTACTCGCACTCACTTGTAGGAGGTACCAGCATGGTAAATAAGTATTGGTGCGCATGCATGTGCAATACTGTAACCCAAGTTGTATTGGTTGATGAAGTCTAAATCAAGGCTTGCACATGATGGATTATACGTGCACTAAAACTGGGTGTTTGAAATCAGCGTTAACAAGATTGACAGAATAGTAAAATAAAATGCTTGCTTAAATGAAAAGATAAGAGGGAGTTGTTTTTTTGAGAAAGGTTTAGCTACATTTTATGGTGTGTGCAGCATTATAACTAGACAAACAGTCCTTACACAGATGTGTTTAAGATTTGTTTTAAAAGGTTAAGTTTAATCCCACTGAAAAACCTGGATGCCAAATACAAGACAGTAAGCCTGGAGATAAAAGGTAAAGTTACATATCAGAAGGTTGCCACCTAAAATGCTATTATCCTAATTAGAGGTGGACGCCACGTATGTCAGAAAGCAGCCTCTGATGTGTGCCAATTTTATTAATGAAAGGGATCTTCATCACAAGCTAGCTCCAGTATAATAACTTTGTAGGCATGTAATCAGGAGCTTCCGTCTTTTAGCAAGATAACAGAAGAGACAGTGGACCACAATAGTTCTTTTCTCTTACCACTGTAGTATGGTGTAAACGCCTCTCTTTGCTCTTCGCTATAAAAACAATTATCCCAGTACGTCTTTAGCTCATGTCTTATCTTTAAGATTACTTGCTTCAGATTAGCCATCTTCATTTCCTCCAATCGTCCAAGCTCATTTTCCCACTGCAAGCAGAAGAAATTCACATTTTAATGCATAGCACATAACCTAAATATGAAACCTAAACCTGAAAAAGAACCTTCTCATGTTCAGAGTCCAAGTCAAAGAAAAGTATGATGAAGAAATAAGCCTCCATGGTTTCTTGCACATTAATTTCAAGGTAGAGCGCCCCTGTGGTACAGCAATCTATTCCTTTACCAGTTATCTACAAAACTTGTACCAAGGATGACTTCACTTGGAATCTGCACAAGTAGGGTAAGGTGAGGTGAATTCCCAATCCCGTGGGCCACATATGGGTTTTCCTCCCCAACAGGTCTGCAGATTAGGCTTCGCTGGACCGTGTTCAAAGAAAGCAAGCTGGGCTGCCCAGTGGGTGTGTCAGCTCTAAGAGCTTAAAGTGACACTAAACTCGGAGTAAATCATAAAAATGCATTCAAGTACCCTAACTATTAACAAAAAGTAGCTAATTTCTGTATCGCTCAGCTGTAGATCCTCAAACCTTTTACGGTCAGCTGTAGATCCTCCGATCTACAGTCCTTCCTTCTGGAGGGTGGCTACTTTTGTTGCCCATGATCCCTATGCATGTTGTAAAGTAGCCACCTCTCCAAGCTCACTCACTATGTCGCCCTGATAAAGGGACCCTGCGTGGCCCCAAAACATTAGTACTTGTGACAATTTAGTAAATTAAATGAAGATTCAAGTGTACACTATATGTTGACTGGTGATTATCCCATCTTCACTTTAAATGCAAAGGTCTGACTGCATAGTCTTCCTTTTAGAAAGTGATAATTCCAAGCACATGTTTGTCTCAAGCTCCTTCCACCAACAGTCTTTTGAACATATGCCTAGGTATTATGTGATTATCTCAAATAAAAAAAAAATGCAAAATATAGCTGTCGATGAAAAGGTAAAACTTTTTTTTTTTTAAAGAAAGAAGGTACAAAACTCACATAAAACTTGAATTGAATAAGCATCCAATGTCAACATCCAATAGAAGTCTCCTGCCCTCACAAGGGAGAGAGACATCTATACTGTTTGGATTCTGTCAAGTGTCTGCAGGTCCACTCACTGACACGTCACTCAGCTTCCTCCCACACACATTTCGCCGTGAACAACTTCATCTGTTGCACAAGTTTTATGTGAGGTGTTTTACCTTCTAATAACTTAAGAAAAAAATTATATATATATATATATATAATTAGAGGTGCCTAAAATAGAAAATTTAGAAACCGAAACCGCAATAGAAAAAATTATCAGGCCGAAACCGAAAATGTTTTAAATATTTTATTTATTTTTTTATAAACATTTCTTTATATTTATTCATTTTTTTTTATTAGCTATTTTTTTTTTTTACTTTACTTTTAGGGGCTTCGGGGAAATATCTCTTGGTATATAGCTCTTGGTTCCCGGTTCATATTACCTACAGTACTCATAGAAGGGAGTCTTCAGAGACAGAGCAAGCGCAAAGGCAACAGCTCTAGATCTGAGGAAAACTGTGGCAGAGTCTTCCTATAGCTACATGGAGACAAATCTTAATTGAAGAGGGAAAAAAATAATATTTAATTTGAATTACACTCATCCCCCATAGTTAGTTAGAGCAGACGTGCGACATTGAAACGGTCACACGTCGGCTCTATTGATCGGGGAGTGAAAATATACCACCGCTCGCTCAATCACTCACTCACTCACGGATGGGGGAGGAGGCGAGCATGGCTGGCTCTGCCTTTAGAGAGGCAGAGGCAGCTGTCAATCAGCCAGTGGGATGATCTCGACAGTACTGTTGGGATCTGTCCCGGCTGTGGCGCCCTCAGCATATAGCAGGCAATAGCCCGCTATATACTGAGTTTTGGGTCACAGGAGGACATTGTTATATATCCTCCTGTGACCATAAAGAAACCTATGGGGGAAAAAAGGTTACCCCATAGTTCTTTTAAGAAACTGAGGAGCCAGTAATATTGCATCATACACTTTTGCAGTCACCATGTTGCAATATGGTTGTCTGTATAACAAACGAAAGGAACAAAAGCTAAAACTGCAGGTCGGTGAATTACAATGGAAGAGATTACTGATAATTGCCGATTGTCAATAAGCATAAGGGTTCATATATAACCCAATAGCAATACTGTAACCCACAGATGTTAACCACAAAATCAACGTTCCAGTTTAGTAAGCCACTAAAAAGGTGGTTCCGATAGGTTGCGTCAAACCATCAATTTTTAAACCGTTTTTAACAAAGCCTCTCATGGTTGTAAAAGGTAGCACCTCAGCCTCACCGATCTCACAGATGATACTTGGGCTTCACCAGTCTTGCACATTAGCTGCGAAAGCTACTTGTTACTGTTACATGCATTATACTTTGCATTTTTTTTATGTAATAGAGTAATACACTAATACTTAATTTGAGGTCAGCTTTACAGACGAGACCAGCCCCACAGTCTGATAATTATTGCTCTAAACCACACTAATCTTAACAGCATATGTTTGAAATGTGCGGATTTGTTGCACATTTCCACTCATGAACACTCACCACTTTAATTTTCTCATAAATAGGGTTTCCAGAAATCTTCTGACACGCTTCTCTCTCTTCTTTGCTAATTTGCAACAGATCCCATAAAACCCCTACTTTTTCTTTAAGCGAGTTCAATGTTGATAAGAGTGCCTCCTTTTTGAGGTCTAGCTGTAGCAAAAAAATAACAGCAAATAACAAAAATCACACAATTTTAAAAAATTACCATTACCAAAAATGAAGCATTCGGGTATTGCATAAAGTGTAAGCACTTTTCCAATCATAAATACGTAAAATAAATGAGCACATATAAACCTCATAAAAAGGTAGCCATACAGGGCTTGATAAAAACAGAAAAGGAATCTTTAAGGTCTGGACATGGCTCAGATTAATTGGGCCATGTAGGCGTTAGTGATTATGAATGCTTACAAGGGTTAACATCACAATAGAGATTATCAAAAATGATAAACTCTGTATGACTGAGCAGGGAACATTTTCTTTAAGAATTTTTTATTCTTATTTTATTCTCTTTTCCGTGGAGACATTGTGAAGAATATGCATAAGGAACCCTGTCCAGTCCTTAGATCCTTGAGCCAAAATCTTCTCCAAAGTTGGCCAGGCCTGCCCAATCACTCCCCATAGACTTACTGGTAACTGTACTTAAAAACTAGAGATGCTATGAATATGGCCTCATTCAAGTCCATAGGAAGGTGCAGGAATTCTTTCAGATTTAAGGGCTAACTCCACCCAAGATACTCATTGCTCTGTGGTGGTTGTTGAAGGCTATTGCATCAGGCTTCAGTGGTGCAACAAGTCATGCCTGGAATCCTCTCAGATTTAAGTGCCAACTCCAACCAAAATACTCACCGTTTGGTGGTTGGCTGAATCACACAACAGGTCCTTAGGTTTCACAAAGCTCAATGTAGCCCATCATAGAGCCACATGAACCTAATGCAGTAAGAATCCAGCTTCCGCTTGTTAACATGTGTAGCGATAACTCCCCGCAGGGAGCCGCTGTTTGCCCGGTTCACATCTAGTCGGTCTCGGGGTTGATTTCCAGCTGCGCCCATTAGCACTAACTGCCCTCTCCTGGTGCCCATACATTGATGTCCACTTCAGTAGTATGATGCTAATTGAACATTTTATGCAACATCTTCTTAGGGAGAGAGGGTATAGGGGTTCTAGATGTCTAGGGGTAACCATCAGAAGCTCCAGACTCACCGGACCTTGCTAGAGTAACGATGCATTTCCACAATCCCGGAAAGAAACATTGACCATGCTCAGAAGTCCACATAGATCCAGGGCACCTCAAGAGCCTGCACTGGTCTTGGCTCTTTTCCTCTTTCCATCTCTCAGGCCTCCTCCATGTTGGAGGCCTCAGGGAAGCCTTTTTCCTCACTTCAGCCCATGCCCACCCCCAGGCCTCTTATGGGGGGCAGGCTGAACAGGACCCAGCTCTAATACATGGCTGGTCCAGGCGAGAGAGAGAGAGCACATGGCAGCTCCCATCAATATATGTACACTCTGCCAACAGGCACCACTGGCTGAGTGAAGCCCAGTAATTGGCTGCTGTAATGTACACATATTACCGTATCTCCTTTTGGCTGTCCTACAATATGACTGAGTCTCACTCTGCCCAGTATACGAGTCTCACTTCGCCCAGGGGGATACAGACAAGGTTAGGCATCTGGGATTAACCATGTAATCGCCCCTACAAATCCAGCCAGGCTGTCTACAGCCCTGGCTACCACTAAATGCATAGTAGGCACATCACAAAAGGCGATGGGCACTACACATTTAACTGTTAAGACAATAAGGCTATATCTCAAAATATTTGAAGGTGAAAAAACTCCAGGGGTTTGCTTTGCCAGCACAGTTAACTCCCCATAGACTTAAATGAAGAAGCGTTTACACCACCTCTAAGCTTTGGGATACAGCTACAGTTAAAGTAGTATTAAACTCTCAAACTTTTTTTCCAATAATGAATCCAGAACAAATATACCTCTCCCAGCAAAGAGTTTACATTTTTTGCCCAAACACTTACATCTTAATGTTTCTGAACAGCTGCTTCCAAGTTTCAACTCCCTGAACTTCCTGTTCAGTACAAGATCACAAACGAAAGTGCAGACTCCAGCAACTGTTCATATACTAGCTTGGAGGAGGGGGGCCTGGTAAGGGAATAGCTTGATTTACCATGTCTATACGTTTGTGGAGACACACACACACAGCAGTGACTGCAAAGCACTCTTCTTGAGAAAGAAGTCACTCCTAAACAAGAAGTCTCAGGAAATCAGCTAATTCTGCAGGAAGCTAAAACTTTTAAACATCAAGGAGCAGCATCTATTGTAAGTTATTACATCAGCATTTTAAATAGCTGGATTTTAATATCACTAAGACTGTGGGGAGGGACTGCACAGGCATGGCCAACACAGGGAAGAGTCTAGGTCTGAGGATGTAAGCACCAGACGTGCTTGCCACGGTTGTAAAGCGGTAAGTATACTGTGTGTGCAGGGGTTCTGGATTACATTAGGGGCATATGAAGGGTGGGCTGGAATTTGTTTAATAAATTTGTCCTGTAGGTTATATTTTTTTATTAACGGTTAGTATTTGTAGTTTCTTTTTAACCTAATAAAACGTATCCGTTAAACAAAACAGAAAGAAGCAGTGGCGAAGTTTAGTATAGTTACTATTAGACACGTACCCACTTTTATTGCATATTGAGATCCACTTACCTGTTCTTTTAATACCGTAAGAGCTCTAATATTCTCCGGTGTGAGGAAAAAAGCCTCGTCATCCTCACAGATGGCATCCTGCTCTAGGGAATTTTCAGGTTTTTGTCCCATTTCATCTAAACACTGTCGGATTTCTGCTCTAAGTGAGGAAAAGACCTCAAGGCGTTTTTTCTACAAGAAGATCACAAGGTTTTCCTGCATGTCAATATTTCATTGATACGTTGAAAGACATAGAATAAAATTATTTATACAGCTCCAAGGCTGATGCATATGACAAACACGCATTTTCCCAAAATGTACAACTGCACTTATATTGACACTAAACTCAGGAGCTAAATCTTAAAAATGCATTCGAAGCACTCCAACTAATTACAAAAAATGTATCTTATTTGTGTATTATTCAGCTGTAGATCCTCAAATAATCTCTGGATTCATACTGACATTGTCCTTCTGGAGGGGGCTACTTTTGTTCCAGATAGTCCCTCTGAGTGTTGTAAAGAAGCCATCACTCCAATCTCACTCCCACGATGGACTACAATCTCAATACAAATTAGTGAACTGAACATAAGAATGCAAACCATCACAGGAGTGAGATTGGAGTGGTGGCCACCTTACAACACACATAAGGACCATGGGGAAGAAAAGTAGCCACCCTCCAGAAGAAAGGACAGTGTCAGCATCAATTCAGAGATGACTTGAGGATTTACAGCTGAGTGATTACACAAATAAGCTACATTTCTGTTAAGAAGTTAGGGTACTTGAATGAATTTTTAAGATTTTACTCCAGAGGTTAGTGTCACTTTAAGTTCAGATACCATCAGCAAAGGCTCATGCTTACAAAACACTATGGTGATCTAAAATAGGAGTTGTGGCTAGGACAGTAGGAGTACAGAAAAAAACCTGGCAGCTGCTAATACCTCTCCAGGAAGCCAGCGGAGAGACTGTCCTAAGCCATTACAACACAAAATCAGGAGGCTTTAGTGTAAACAAGGCAGTCCTAATTTCCCAACGATAATGCTCTATAAAAAAAGAGGTGAACAGAACATTTCTGGTGCCAGTGACCGAGGTGGCAAGCAAAGAACTCAGCTGTGGTTAATTTGTTACACTCTAGCATGCACACAGTAGGGAACACCATTTGTGTTTGATGTCGGTATTGTGTAAGGGAATATTTATAAAGCAGTGACTCGGTTTAGAAAACATTCACTGCAGGTGAATCTTCCAGGTGCATATGTTTTAAGTGACAGTGACTCACTAGTAGTGAATTGTTTGGTTAAAGTCACATTCACTGGTTTTTAAATATGTTCTAAAGCACCTTGAAGTCACATAAGACAATCGTATGTGAACACCATCAAAGATTTATTTAGATGTCAGATTACCTTTTCTTCAGTCTGTGCCCGGATGTGCTCTTTGAGCTCTTCCAGCTGTTTATTACTTGGTATGCACCCTGATGGTATATAATATGGAGTAACACAGAGATCAGAACATAATGCCTGGTCTTTTTGTTGTAGGAGCTTCAGTTCTTCAAGACGGTCAGTCTTTTGTTTTATAAGAAACTCGTATCTCACTCTTAGATCTCGCTCAATCTGAAGAATAGTCATACCTTCTTCCACCTGGAAAAAGATAAAGAATTAGCAAAGTAATAAAGAAGCTTGGTGGGTAAAGAAAGTCTGTCAATACAGTTGTCTCACCTTGTAGTCCTCTATTGATAACTCGTGGCAAAGTGTCTTTATTTCCCTTCTGCAATATTGAACGCTTTTTTCAATCCTATCTTTCATTTCAATTTCTTCTGTTATCATGCGGTTAAACAACTCCTGCAGAATTGTACGGGAACAAACAAAAATCTCAGCACTAAAAAGGCATAGAAAGCTATTAGCTATCGAAAACCTATTCGCAATTGTGAAATCTAATTAGGACCACATACTTTACTAGCAGATGAACACAGAAGTGACATCCTTAAAGTGAAACTGAACTCAAGAAGTGAAGATCTGCTAGATTATAGAGAACTAGGAGGTGCACCGAAATGGAAATTTTAAAACCGAAATAAAAAAAAAAAAAATTGTCAGGCCGAAAACGTTTATTTTTTCAAATATTTTATTTTTATATAAAACGTTTATTTTTTCAAATATTTTTATTTATTAATTCATTTTTTACTTTAACTACCTTCCGTCCATGGCCGTTCGTGAACGGCCGGACGGAAGTCTGCTAGGAGCGGGAGGGCGTCTTAAGACGTCCTGCCCCTCCCCCTTCTCGCGCGCGGCACTCAGCGCGCACACGAGAGTGAAAACTGTAAGCATGTAAACAGCCAGCGATGGCTGTTTACATACAAGCGATCAGGCGTCTCTAGAGACGCCCGATCGCTTGCAGGAGCTGCGGGTGTGCGCCGCCCCCCCTCCTTGTCTGCTCGTCGCCGGTCCGTGATCCGATGTGGCCGGTGAGGCTGGAACCGGCACGGCGACGCTCTAACAGCAGATCAAAGGGAGATCATTACTTGATCATCCATTTGATCTCTCTTCCTGTCCCCGAATGCAGGAAGTGATGTATATTACATCACTTCCTGCATTCAGTGTCACTCTCCGGTGCAGAACACCGGAGAGAAGCTGATGAAGCAGATCTCTGCTTCATCAGCTTCTCGGGGGGTCCTTAGGTGACATCAGAGAATCAATGAACAGGAATTCTCTATACTGAGTGTTCCTGTTCATTCATAACATGACAGAGTATGTTTACTATAACTACAACTATGAATGAACAGGAGGTGATGTAGATCACTTCCCATTAATTCATAATTAAGGATATAGTACACATACCATATCCTCAATTATCTACAAACACTCAGCAATCAGTGTTTGCTCTCGCTCTTCTCTCTGACACGCTGTCACAGGAGGCTAAGCGAGCGGTGTAGAGAGGAAAGCCCAGCCTCCTGTGACAGCGCAGGCTGTCTCCGCCCTCACACCGCTCTGTCAGACTGTGATAGGAGGCAGAGCGGTGTGTGCGGAGACGCCGTCCGCTCACAGCGCTCTCCTCCCGCAGCGCTCGGCTATCACAGTTTCTCTCCTTCCCGCTGGGACACAGAGCAGCGCCCAGTGAGGAGGAAAGAAACCTGGGATGTGCCGATGTATCGGCAGGAAAATGGCACTTTCGGCATTGTGCCAAAAGTGCCATTTTTCGTCCTATATATCGGTGCATCCCTATAGAGAAATGTTAATTGTGCCATAACAGTACCCTGAAAAAACGATCTTGTGCCTTGAATCTCTCCTGAAAAGCAGCAATGCACTTCCTGTGATGTGAGCGTGAATATGGCCTCATATCTGTATATATGCAGAGTACGATCTAAAGCACTGCTGCCTCTGGCTGTTAGTTTAACCACCTCCGGGCCGGCCGTCCGGAGCTCTCTAGATCTGAGCGGGCGTCTCTAGACGTCCGCCCAGACACGCCCCCTCACGCGCGCCGCTGGGCGCGCGCGAGCGGGAAGTGACCGCAATTTAAAAACAGACAGCGGTGCCTGTTAACATACAAGCGATCCGCCGGCTGTAGAGCCGGCGGATCGCTTGTATTTTGCAACGATCGGTGCGGGCCCCCCCCCGCCATTGTCCCGCTGATCCCGGGCTCCGCTGTGCACGGTGCGAGCCCGGGATCAGCATGGTGCCTGTGTCACAGGTGATCAGAGGGAGATCGTTACACGAGCTCCCTCCGGTCACCTCTTATCTGCAAGAATGCGGAAGTGTTGTATATTACATCACTTCCGCATTCTTGTGTCACTCTCCAGCTTCAGAAGCTGCAAAGAAGCTGATGGAGCAGATCTGTGCTTCATCAGCTTCTTTTGGGGGGGTCCTAGGTGACATTAGGGGTCTTGGAGACCCCTGATGTCTCCATAAAGAGGACCTGTCACATATTTTGCTATCACATAGGGGGGTTTTATTAGTCCCCGTATGTGATAGCAATAAAGTTTAGTGGAAAAAAAAAGTCCCCCCCCAAAAAAGGTTTTAAGTTACACATAAAAAAGAATTAAAAAAATAAAATAAAAATTAAAAGTCCCCACCCATACATACACACATGCGTCGGGGGCGCATACGTGCAAAAAAGACGATTGCGCCCATTACGCCGCACATGTTACATATCGCCGCGAACGTCGGAGTGAGAGCAATAAGTCTAGGGCCATCAATCACTGATAACACTAAACTGATGAGCGGTAAATACGTTTAAAGCGTCGCCTATGGCCAATTTTGGTTGCGGGAAGTTTCTAGAGCTCAGTGTTTCTTTAAAAAAAAAAACATTAAACCTGATTCATCAACCTGCTATAGCACATACTATAAGGCACGATAAGGCGGCCTCTAAAAGCAATATTACACATTCACCTTACTGCAAAAAGGACTACTGCAGCTTGATAAATCAGGGCCATATATCTACCCTATTATTTTCACCTCATCCTCCCAAACAAAGCAGCTGCTACACTTAAAATTTAGTACAGCACATGCAGCCATACCTTTTCATCATTTGTGGATGTCGCATTAGCCAATCAGTTTTATGTTGTGGCTGATGAAGACTGGTAATCTGCTGCCCATATAAAACAGCCAAAACACACAAGGAGGCTAAATCAGATTATACTGAAATAATGGTGCTGAGTAACTGTTTTCTTAAAAAAAAAGAAAAATGCATACAAAGGACTAATTCTATGCTTCTGTGGAGAACGGCATATAAAGCCCTCCATGCAATAAAATATTTATGGCAATGTAAAAGGAAAAAAGAAAACAGCACTGCGCTTCAAACTCAAAAATTATATTCCTAAAATGTGAAAAAATAGTATAAAATGTGAAATTGTCACAAAGTGATACACAATTTTGTGTCATACACAACACCTGTGTTGCGCAATGCCTGTGCTGATGATAGTAGGGAAAACTCTAGGTCTAATGGTCTAGACACTATAAACAATAATAAACATGGGAGAAAAAAAAACCGTGCTAGTACATCTCATAAAATGTGTACAAGTGATGTATCCATTGAATATCCCATGTATGCATCCTCCCCAATTCTCAATGTTAAATGTTTTTATGTATTGTAAGATTTTATCTGTATGTATATATTATGGAGTATAGTTTGAAACGGGTTTAAGAGATTATACACACTAGAATGCAGCCTGAATGGGGTGACACCTAGTGGCAGGAATTTGATTACCATTATGTGTGATAGAAAAAAGGAAAGGAGTTTGTAATGCTCGTATGCAGACCGTCACCTCAGAGGAAGTCAATAGTGATGAAATGCATCACGTGGGCCGATCTATGCGAGCATTGCAATCATAGAGACAGGAGCTTCAGTGGACACAAGCCATGTGCGATTACCGTATTTTAATTGTAAGTGCATTTTAATCGTTTTAAATAAATTTATTCTGATATACTACACTATGGGAAGCTTATTTTTCTCTCTCTGACCACAAGCTTATTTTTCTCTCTCTGACCACAATTACCAAACTAATTAGGGGTATGGAGGACCAGAGCTACGAGACGGGGCTACTAAATTTAAACATGTTCACATTAGAGGTGAGGAGATTAAGGGGGGATATGATTTCCATGTACAAAATGTTCAATGGTGGTAGCAACATTAGCGATAAACTGTTTCAAATTAACTCCATTACAAAAACTAGAGGTCACCACCTAAAATTGGTGGAAAAAAAATTCCAGCACAAGGGGCGAAGGGGGTTCTTCACAGTAAGATCAGTTAGGGTCTGGAACTCACTGCCACAGGCGGTGATTTCAGCAAATAATGTGGAATTGTTCCAGAAACGTTTGGACGATTTCTTAAGGGACCGTAATATACAGGGGTACAGGGACTCCTAGAGTGAGATCCTAATAGGTTGGACTTGATGGACTAATGTCTTTATTCAACCTCAAATACTATGTAACTATGTAAGAGAAGGTGGAAGATGGAGGAATATTTTTTACACGATTTTGGAAAGATAAGCCAGAGTTGGGAGGAATCTACCCCAATTTATTGTATGATTAAAAACAAAAGGAGAGGATTTGGTTCTATATATCAACAAAGCGCTAATTGTTCATCTGAAATATGGTGAGCAATAGGAGTCGGTGAGTGCGGCCAGATCTTATCTTTGAGCACGGTGGAGACTGGAGAGCACTGATTCACTAATTGTTTTTGCATTCACGGACGTGGTGTTGATTATAAAAGTTGTAAGATATACCCTCACATATTTCAAGGACTTTATTGTATCAAGAAGTATTGGACGTCACATATGGTTATGTAGATTAAGTGGGAGTTATACATCTCTTGTGAGATTTAACACAGGTTTTTCTATATGTACACATTTTATGAGATGTACTAGCACGGGTTTTTTTTTTCTCCCATGTTTATTATGGTTTATAGTGTCTAGACCATTAGATGTAGAGTTTTTCTTACTATCATCAGCACAGGCATTGTGCAACACAGGTGTTGTGTATGACACAAAATTGTTTATCACTTTGTGACAATTTCACATTTTAGGAATATCATTTTTGAGTTTGAAGCGCAGTGCTATTTTCTTTTTTCCTATTTTGGGTGTACTCGCCTATTAAGCACAGCTGCTCTTAGAGTGTTATTTGATTCCTAGCGCAGTTTTTTTCTATCTAACAATGTAAAAGGAAAACTTAAGCAGGATTTTCACAATACCCATTTGGTCACGTATAAATTTGAATAATAAACACCAATAAGTAGTAACTATATTTGGGGTAACAGAATTAAAGAACCACATTTACAAAGCTATACTTTATTCTGCAGGTAAGATTTTAGGTTGCATTAGTAATCCCCGGCAGTACATTTACTTCCCACGTTACTTCAGCCTGACTAAGTTATGTGTCAGTTCCATTAACTTACATGGAAAGTCCTTTAAACCCAATCAAGCAGAAACAATGCTTAAAAAGGAGGTCGACTAAAGGAAATTTTAACACAATGAATATGCAGGGAAAGCTAAGTATAATTTTAAATTTTTCATCTATTGTTCCATATTTACAAGGACAACTATTTGTATGATGGATGTAAAAATAAAATTCTTTAATTTTTTTTTATATTATACACACAAACACTAGGTGCACCAAATAGAACTTAAATTTTTTTTTTATATATATATTTTTTTCTAAACTCTTTATATTTTTTATATTTGATTTATTTTTTAATAAATATTTGTATTTTTTAAACTTTACTGTCGGGGGCTCTAGGGAAATATCAGGGGTCTGAACAGACCCCTGATATTTCCCTTTTAAAATAGAAAAAGATTGAGAACACAGAGTCCTCAATTTCTTTTTGTGCAGCCCCGGTTATAAATGAACAGGAATCCTCTGCAGTGAGTGCTTCTGTTCAGTCATAACTTGAGGACAGAGTATGTTTACTATATCCACAAACATGAATGAACAGGAAGTGATGCAGAGCACTTCCCATTCATAAATAGGGACAGAGTAAATGTCCTCAATTATTTACAAGCAGCCAGCGATCACTGATCGCCGACTGCTTGTACCCACTCTCTATCATGACTCGCTGTCACAGGATGCAGTGCGATCAGTGCAGGGAGGAGAGCTCAGTCTATTTATACAGCTAACTCCTCCCCCCACACCGGCCTCCTGCGACAGCCGTCTCTACCCACACCGATCTCCATCCTGATTTGTCACAGGAGGCCATGCGGGGCGGTGCAGGAGGAGAGCCCGGACTCCTTTGACATACCGGCCGCTCACAGTGCTCTCCTCCCCTGAGAGTTTCTCTCCTCCACGCTGGACGCTTTGCTGTGTCAGAGTAATCACAGAGCAGCATCCAGCGGGGAGGAGAGAAGGCAGGCATGCACTGCAATTTCGTCCGAAAGATGGTTCTCTCAGCATTTTGCCAAATATGTTTCAGCAGTGATATTTCGGTGCATCCCTAATATATACACATACATATAGACTGCTTGGCCCTATAAAAAAAGTCACCATCTGGATTTAGCTAAGCAAATAGGCAAGAACCCTCTATTGGATAATCACTGCAGTGATTGATATGTTTCAGTCGGCAACAAGTTATTTAACCCCAAGTAATGCAGATGAGTACCTTCTCATTTCTTAAGCTGGCCATACACCTATAGATTATATGCTGATTTTCTATGGTCTGATACAAATCAGATTGTTCATGTATTTTGAGAGCCAACAGGGCCGCCTAGCAAGATACTGAAGCTTGGCCAGTGGGAGATTCCTCCATCCACACAGTTTAGCGTAGATGGAGGAATCTGTTGCACTTTTTCCATCAGACCATAGAAAATCTGCAGATAATCTATAGGTGTATAGCAAGCTTTAAACATCCATGTCTAAAGACAAATCCTGTCGTCGTGGAAGGGTCAAAGTGTTGGCCTGCATCAAGCAAAGAAAACAACTAAAGGAGATTGCTGAAACTGATAAAATTGGGTTTGGAACAGTCCAATGCATTATTAAAACTAGGAAGGATAGTGGTGAACCATCATCTTAAAGGAAGAAAGGTGGGCAACGTTATATGCCCAAAACAGCTGCCTACCTGAATATTCTGAACGACCAGGTTTTTTCATCAATGGATTTTTTTCTTCCCTGATGGCACATTGGGCATATTCCAAGATGACAATGCCAGGATTCATCAGGCTCAAATTGTGACAGTGTGGTTCAAGGAGCATGAGACATCATTTTCCCTAGGGATGCACCGATATATCGGCCGCTGAAACATTTTGTCCGAAAATGGCACTTTTGGCATATCCGAAAGAGCCATGTTTCGGCCGATACATCGGCGCATCCCTCGTCTACTTTCTCCCCGCTGGGCGCGGCTCTGTGTTCCAGCGGGGAGAAAAGAAAGTGACAGCCGGCCGAGCGCTGCGGGAGGAGAGCACTGTGAGCGGCCGGTGTCTCTCCTCCCACACCCATCACAGTCCGGAAGATCGGTGTGGGGCGGAGACAGCCAGCGCTGTCACAGGAGGCTGAGCTCTCCTCCCACAGCGCTCAGCCGCCTATCACTGTGCTGCAGAGCGGTGTGTGGGTCGAGACAGCCAGCACTGTCACAGGAGGCTAAGTTCACCTCCCTGCTCCGCTCGATCAGCCTCCTGTGACACCGGAGAGGAGAGCGAGCACAAACACTCAGCGATCAGTGATCAATGGTATGTTAACTATATCCTCAATTATGAATGAATGGGAGGTGAGCTACATCACCTTATGTTCATTCGTAGTTGTAGGTATAGTAAACATACCATGTCCTCATGTTATCAATGAACAGTAACACTCATGGAGGATTCCTGTTCATTGATAACAGGGGATACAGAAAAAGAGATTGAGGAATGTGTGTCCTAAATCTCTTTTTCTATTTTAAAAGGGAAACATCAGAGGTCTGTTTAGACCCCCAATATTTCCCTGAAGCCCCTAAAAGCAATGTAAAAAATAAAAATAAAAATGTTTACGGAGGTGGTACAATCACATGAATGGCAGGTCCCATGGTTTCCCAGCAGGACATTGCCCAAAGCATCGCACCGCCTCCACCAGCTTGCCTCCTTCCCATAGTGCATCCTGGTGCCATCTCTTCACCAGCTAAGCGACGCACCTGGGAATCCACATAATGTAAAAGAAAATGTGATTCATCAGACATCTTCCATGGACCAGTTCTGATGGTCACAGGCCCATTGTACACACACACACACACACACACAATGTCATTACCTCAATGTGTTTTCTCACTTCTCCAATTCTCTGCAGTCGCATTTCCTCTTTGATACCCAGTCCATCCCAGATATCCATAAGCCTTGCAAGTGCATTGTTTGCACTGGAGATGACAGATGAAGCCAAGACCTCACTACATCAAAGGGAGAAAGTTCTTCAGTAGAATAGATCCAAGCAAAGCATGGTTTATGAAAACTGGAAGATGCATGTTTCTCCCCTAAATCACACTCCTTCAGAAATGCTGATCCAAGTATAAAATCATTAAATGTGGTACTCACCCTCTCTCGGCATGGCACCGTCTCAACAAGAATCCACAACTGTCAGTCCACTTCTGAGTTCAATGACATCCAGATACTCACTTGATCCTCTGTCCCACCGGGCTGCCTCTCTCCTTCTATGTCCTGGCTTTTGTATGTTCCTTGCCATCTTCACGTCTACTACATTGTATTAGACATGATGACTCATGAAACCTAAGACAGCTGGAGCCTGGGGGAGAAGAGGCTGTGGGGACGGAGAATCAGGCGAGTATCTGTTATTTAGCTGCCTAGACAAAACGAGCAGTTAACCCTTGCAGTGCAGGAGCTGTTTGCACTGGAACCAGCAAAGCATTGCAACTGCGATCAGAGGATGGTGGTCCATCCTCTGAGATGATGTGCATGGTCACATGTCTAGTCACATGTGCCAATTTTCAGGAAGTAAAGGGAGATCTAGTAACCTGCCCTTAGTAAACATGGCCACTGTCAGAAGACTGGAGAAGAAAAGAGAAACAAGGTATCCAAAGAATACAAAGCCGCCAATTATCTAGAAGTATGTGTTTGTAGATTGTCATTTCCAAACATTTCTAAAGGTGTCTTTGTTATTTTAAAAATATTGTTAAAAAGGTCCACTTTAACTATTAAATGTATCTTATTTATGTATCACTTTGTAGATCCTCAAATCATCTCTGAATTCGTGCCAACACCGTCCTTCCTTCCTTCAGGAGCGGGGAACAGGTAACCCAGTTCCTTCCTATCAGCTTCTTTGGGGGTCCCTAGGTGGCATCTGGGGTCTTGGAGACCCCTGATGTCTCCATAAAGAGGACCTGTCACATCCTTTTTGCTATCACATAGGGGGTTTCTTAGCCCCCTATGTGATAATAAAGTTAAGTGAAAACCACAAAAAAAAAAATAGGGGAAAAAAATTAATGTTGCAAAATAGTCACATAATAAAAATAATTTAAAACAAAAAATCCTCTCCCATACATACACGAAAATGACGCCGCACATGTTACGCACCGCGAACGTCAGAGCGTGAGCAATATTTCTAGGGCCATCAATCACTGATAACACTAAACTAATGAGCGGCAAAAGCCTTTAAAGCATCGCCTTTGGTCAATTTTGGGTATTGTAGTTTATTGTGACTTCGTGGGTGCGCGCAAGAGGAGGTAACGCTGTCACTTCCGGATAGCCAAGCGGTGAAGAGAGAGGGCCGCCAGCTGTCAGATCCTGGCCGAGCGACTCTCTCCCCTCACCCATTCTGGATAACAGCTCTCTCTGCCGCAATACCCCCCCTCCATTTTTCCTCCGATGCCGGGGATCCGAGGAGAAGCTGCAGGCTGTGCCACTCCTCTACTCCATGCTGCCAAGCGCCCACTGTTGCCATGGCACCCTGTGCTCACCATGGCAGCCAGCCTTGGCTATGCACCCTCACAAATGCGCCCGAAGCGATTGCCTTAATCTTCTTGCCCTTCCTATGGCCCTGGGTGACTACATTACAATGCACAAAGGGACTGGGGAACAAAAGTAGTCGCCCTCCAGGAAGGACAGTGTCTGCAACAATACAGAGATGATTTGTGGATCTACAGCTGAGTGATACACAAATAAGATACATTTTGGTTAAAAAGGTAAAAGGTACATGAATGTATTTATAAAGGTTTAACTCCTAAATTTGATGTCAATTTAAAGAGAAACAACACCCTTTTCTTGTTTTTCTAAACCCCTTTTACCTTTTTCAGTGGGTTCTCCTTCATGATCATATATCTACGTCCAGCAAATCCAGTGTTGCTGTAAGGTACCCCCCAGTGTTGGTGTAAGGTAACTTCATCTTCCCCTCTCATCCTTCTTGCAGCCAGATCCCTGGTGACCCCTGTTTCTTGCAGCCAGATCCCTGATGGTGGAGGGGGCCAGCTACAAGAACCAGTATAAGACAGCAGGCACCAGTGGCGTAACAACCGGGGGGGTGCCAGAATGTCTGCCCCGGGCGCCAGCCGCTGGGCAGTGATAAGCAGGCGAATTAAAGATTTACCGGCAATAACGGGGCTGCCCTGGGGGCCTCAGGCGTGAGGACCCAGCGTGCAGCAGCTTCACAATGCAGAGAGAGACGGAGATCAGCACGTCGGTGACAAGGTGAGTGATTGAATGTTTTTTTTTTTTCTCGGTCTCCCGTGCTGCTTCCTCTGGCCGTGTAAACTGACACCAGCCAGGAGGACAGTGTCAGACGGCTGAGGAGACTAATCTCCCATTCCAGAACACAGAATAGCTGAACTTGAAAGTTTCAACTATTCTGTGTTCTATTACAAGAACACCATTTAGTTCAGCAGGTTTCAATTGAAGAGGACCGGGACCAAACGTCTTTAGGGCTCAGTCACACCAGATGCAGTGCGTTCCGGCCCGATTATGGCCAGAACGAACTGCCTCGCATTGCGGACGGCTCACTTTTTTGTGGGGCAGGAGGGCCATTGAAGTGAATAGCACCGTAGCCACGCCCTCCGGCTGCAATGCGATTGTCCGCACGGGATCGCGACGCACATTATGCCTGCGGTCCGGTGCGAGCAAAATAGTACTTGCAGCATTTTGAGCACAGGCATAATGTGCCTTGCGATCCCGTGCGGCCGTTCGCATTGTGACCAGAGGGCGTGGCTAGGGTGCCATTCACTTCAATGGCCCACCACACCCCCTGCTGCCCCACATAAAAGTGAGCCGGCCGCAATGCGAGGCAGTGCGTTCTGGCCAGAATCGGGCTGAAACGCACTGCATCTGG